TCTATTGCTAGTATTTTTCATTGAAAAATCATTTTGGCAGAAAATCTCCAGCCAATTCCATTGTAGACCAGCCCTGCATGAGAAGTTGAACTTGGCCCGGGAAAAGGCAGCCCAAGGAAAATCGATGCACTGCTGGGCTTGCGTGCATCTCCCTCCCTCCAGCTCCACTTAGAGATAAGGAATCCCTACTGCAAAGCCCCATAACTCCTCCAGCCTCTGCTATTCAGAGAGAAATCTTTCAGTCTCACCCCACTCTGGTGCCCTCCAGGGCTGTGTCCTGTGAGAACCTGTCAGGGAACCATGTCTGCATGCGAGTTGTCCTTCTTGTGCAGGTACTTATCAGTATCTGGAGAGAGTTTTGAAATCCTCAGGTTAAAAATGCACAGGTACAGTAGTGTATAATAATGACTTGCAAGTTAGTCAGGATGTTTCACTGCATATGTGACTGAAAGCACATTATAAATCTTTGTTGTGATCACCATTTCTACTTTACATTTCCTTTTATAGAGAGATGAAACGTGGAAAAGGATTGGATGCTTAACTGACTGAATTTTTGAACAGGTTTTTACGCTGTGTCATTTCAGAGAGACTAGAAACATCATAATTATAAATTGTCCGTTTACATTATATAATTTCTCTCCCCTTAGCTGAAGGTAGTCCTTGCTCTGCTGCTGTGAGTATTTTACCATTTATTGGTACCCTGGATTTCATGTTCTTATACTCAGAAAAAGTGGTTATCTATAAAATTGTTTTATAAAAAATTTTGTTTATTATGCGTGTATAAATAAACATTTTTAGTCTTAGAGAAATCAGTAATTTTTCCTATTGTGAAGGAATGACTCTATGTTTCCTAAGAGTCTAGAGTACCTAATTTGTTTTCAAAGTGGATTAAAGACTTAACAGAGTAGTTTGAAAGAATAGTGTACATGTGACTGTTCTTTGGTTACTATAGTTGAAACATTCTTATGTATATTATCTCTCACTGGTTCCAAAGAATTGTAAACCTGTTTCTCAATTAGCAAAGGTTGCAGACCCTCTAGAGAGTGACTTAGATTTATGAAAAAGGTCTTATATTGAGAACACCTCAGAAAGCTTTATATTAGTTCAGAGGCAGCTGTGATTCATAGCACAATAAACTGACCTTTCAAAGGCAAATATGTCTCGCTGATTACTCTACAGAGCTAAATGAACAAAGGTCTAACTAAGATGTTATATAACCGCTTCTTTTCTAAGCCTTGACTGAGTCTGTAAGGGGTTATTTTGGCCAGGTATATAATTTCCCTTTGAACTTGCATGCTGCAAATACTTATATATTGTCAGGATATTCTGCTCTCCTCAGTCAAATTTTTGCAGCCACAAATGCAGATTTGTCTATTTTGCTCTTTCACTGTTCTTAGAAATAATAAAGAAAATGTCACATTACCAGAAAAACTGAGTAACATCTGGAAAAGTTAAGCATTATTAATTAACCTTGTAAGAGTAATGCAGAATTTTGTAACTGGCAAAGGAAACAAGAATAGAAATTATAAAAGCAAATATTGTGATCTTCCACCATCAACAGATGTAATCCTTTTACATTTGTGGAATAAAATAGGGCTTCTTGCCAGCTGCTTTGACCTGGAGATGAAAGACTGTCAGTGACAGAGCTTGCTGAGGTCTCACTAAGACAACACACCCGTAAAAAGTACATAGTCCAAGTTGCATGCACACTTCAGATCTTGTGGACATGAGCACATTCCTATATGACTCTGAGGGATGATAGTCACACCACGTCTAGTAAGGAAGGGTTAATCCCACCTCATTCTGCCTAATTTGCATTCTGGTACTTTTAAGTTGACTGTCTGGTACACTGATGTTGACAGCTCATCTTTGCAGAGAGATGACCATACTCTGTGAGGATCTTTCCTCTGTGCTTAGGGCCGTAAGTTGTACTATGATTCAAGTACAAGGCTGAGTTTAATCAGGTAGGCGATCTGTCCTGTTAAGTGTCCTCCGAACACCCTGAGCTGATCACCACGCAGAGGAGACAACATGGAGATGCCAATGCCCTCTTTTAGTACTTGCCCAGATAGTGAGAGACCTGATAACAGTGCTCATCTCACCCTGCAGAGATTTGAACTTCTCTCTCTTCTGAAGAGTCCTTACCCACAGAGCTGCAGAAAGCAAGTGCCCTGGGACAGCAAGTTCCATCCTGCTTTGTGGGACTGGAGTGGTGTGCATTCAAGAACACAAAAATCATACTTGTAAGGAAAAATCAAGGAGGAAAGAATAAGGCTCTGTAGCCTCTTGGTTAAACTCTGGGAGAACAGGCATGGGACATTTTCCACAGCAAGGCTGACACATTTCAGATTACATTGACACTTGATGGAAATAACACAGGGAACAGGCCTCCAGCTCGTTAGGATGAAGTCACCCAGGCCCAGGCACTCAGCTCCTTTGCAGCTGGCAGAGACAGAACTGTACAATTCCAGGGAAAAACCCAACACCCTGCTTTCAGAGACCTGCAAGACTAAGCATTATTTCAGCAGAAAGGACACAACACTTGGCTTATGTGCTCCATATTCACTAAAGTACTACATAGTTCTTTATAAATGTAGCCATATGTGACTTCCTTAAGACTAGACCCCACGTCATGGCAAAATCGGGTCTCCAGACACCTGACTAGCAGAACGTATAAACTCTTCTATGATAACTTCAGGGGGTTTATGTCAGAGGAGCCTTGTGAAAACAGAGAGAACTGTATATTGTTCAGGTTTTCTCCAAGTCTTAAGACTGTATTAACTTTTTTCCCCCACTATTAATCAGTGAAGTCCTTGTTTGCCTCTCGCTTGTCTTCTTTCAATTAAGCCTCTCCAAAATAATAAATATATAAGAGTATCTGTCCAGAAAATACAGATAATTTTCCCTCTCTATGGAGACTGTTATACATGTTGGCTCTTTAGTGTGAAAAGAGGATGCTATCAAAGTAAAGGAAGCAGATATATTTCTTGGACAAAAAAGATCATTACTTTTGTCGGGTCTAAGGAGGGACTTGACATCTCATACTCAAGGAACAAGGTAAGGCAGAATCATGACTCAGAGGAGCATTTCAGGTTAACATGGTAGGCAATGAATACCAGCAAGAAAGGCCAGGATGAGATAACACAATAAAAGTGCATTTTTCATTGATTGGCTCTCTGTGCAATTTGAGAAAAAGAGCTGTTGCATTCTTGGCTCACTACCTGACCAGGGAGCTTTTCTTTCTTGCAAGCAGTGGACAATTCTTCTCGGAGAGCCTAGCTGCACATCAGAAAGTAAACAGAAAATGATCAATACTTTCCCTCTTCTCTTTGTGACTGACCTTTTGTACTTTGCCTGGAATACAGAGATGCCATATTCTGGTGAGGCGATAGGTAACTCAACTTTAGGGTTTATTTCAATGAATAAGCTTGCCAAGATGCCACAGGTGTTGCTAGAACTTTGTACCTGTGTATCATCAAGGGTTGCCCACCCTCGGTAGCTGCAGGATGCTGGGTTTGGAAACAGGACTTCTGTCCCCCACGTAGACTGTTAAACACCTCCTGTGTCTGTTGCAAAGAGCTGTGCTGCAGCAGTGGGGTGGCGTAAGGTCTGGGGGCCACCCCAGCATCTGTGCTGGCCAAAATCGGGAGCAGGTGGGCGGCAGAGGGAGGGATGTTGCCACTGAAAGGATCTAGGCTCCTTACCCCTTCATTACCCTTCCTTTGCCTAAAATTATTCCCTTGTCTAAATTTATTGAATAAATAAATTCAAGAAACATTGCCTAAAGTTATTCACTTTCTTTTTCATTTTTTTGGGGGAAAAAAAAATAAAACTATTCAAAGATTCTGTAACTGCTGTGGTTGTTGTTAGAGTTGATTCCTGCCTCCCTGAAAATGAATCAAGGCAAATTTACAAAGGGAGAGAGCAATACATAGCAGATCCATAGTGTAATTACAGAAAATTAGAGTATATTCCACTTCAGTATGCTTCTTTCTTTATAGGGCCAGTTTAGCAGATCAGTTTTGCTTCTCAAAAAGCACAGTTTCAAAATGAATTTTCTTAGGTCAAGAGCAATATTTTTTTAAGCAACACATTATTTTTTAATTTACTATTTGATCTAAATACCAAAACAAAGTAATGCCTTTGATACATTGAAAATAGCGGGCTTCTTCCAACCTTGTTTGTGTACAATCCTAAAATACCCAAACCCCAATACTTTCAGCAGCCTTTGATCTAAAGAGGATGTCTCTGTGTCACTGTATAGGAAAACCTCATGAGTTTATGATCTTAACATTGCCTTTATGAGCTCCAGCTTATCTATTTACCTGTATTCTAGTCAAAATCTTGTTGAAATTGGCATGGTTCTTCATTTGAGTCACATCCATCAAACTTCATTACTCAGATGCAAATCATGTAATACTCAAAACACTGGAAAATTACTGAGATCTAAAACTCCTTTCTGCACATACTAATTACTGTTATACAGCAGTTTTTAGTTAAATGTTTTTGTGATTTATGTCTATGAATTTTAAGATTAAGGAGAGCTCTTTTGAAGGAAATTTAAGAAGACAGGTATTCAAAGTGACAGAAATACAGCGACAGTTTTAAATAACATTATGTGTGTTATCTCATACTAAATGTATTATAAGGTAGGTGCCCTTGTTGTGATTTTTACTTGAGATGCCTCTTTCAAATTGGAAAGTGATTTATCGCTTCCCTACCCTTTTAATTATGAGAATATGATGTGACAGAAAACAAGCGTTACCTTGAAATAGATTTGCATACAGACAAGGAGTAGTAAGAGAGAGCCTGTTCAACAGGGAGCCTCTTGAACACAAATGGGATCTCATTGTCTTGCTATCCTTTGCATGACTGAGGGTATTGGCTCTCATTATTAAATTTTAGTGATATTTTATACAGAAATTGAACTGATGGTAACAGATTTCTTTTTCCTGTTTTTAACTTCATGCTCTCCAACCTGTGACATCTTGGCTCGGCAGCCCAGTCATCCCATAGTGCCTATTCCAGAAAATGAAACACTCAGCTCTAAGGAGGTAATCAGTTGACATTTAATGGGTTTAAGCATTTGCATGTTAGCTCTGTCTTTTATTTATGTAGCTTGTGTAGAGTTGATGAGCAAAAATGTGCTAAGCTCCCAAATCTGCTTTTGTCCAGTGCATGGACTAGATAAGCATTAATTATTCATGATGATTAATGAAAAAAAAAAAACCCAGAGTTGTTTTGCAGACTCTTGCTTATGTGAATTTGGAGTAACACTAACATTTACACTTCAGGTTCCTCCTATGTGCTGTTGGGATGTTAAGCGGGATATGTTAAATTGTGCAGTTAGCCCCACTTAAATCACACATTCCACAATTTGCAGTCACTGGTATAGTTTCTGTTTTAAATACCAGATACTACAACTACCAGAAGCACTTAGGATAATTAGTTATTGAGAATTTTGTAAAGGACTGTCAAGAAAACATAAGACAACACATAGTGCAAATTTGCCCAGTATCAAAATTTAGTGCCAGTTTTATCTGACTTTGAAGAAGGACCCAAATATTCTTGAAGTCTAAATTCAGTAGCCAATTCCCTACTACTTTTACATAACTAAACTCTAGGACCATAGTGGTTACCACCTAGATAATTCACTCAGTGAAATCTGAAGCGATCTGCTACACATCATTAATTTTCTCTTGAGACAGAGCATATAAAAATTAAAAAAGGTTCTGCTGGCACACACAAGTCTTTTTTCCAACAAGGTCATGAACATGAAGCTGAATTATAGCCTCAATGTTGAAATGAACATATGTAATTTAATTAACTATCATATTCTTTACTGCAGACTTTGGAATGTAATAGAACATCTTTAATTAAAGGACATTTTCAACATTATTTTAAAAATTCACATAAGAAGGCATAACTTACTACCAGTAATAGCAGTATGAGTACATTTATGTATTTATGTACACAAGAATGAATTTTTACTACCAAGACCTCCTTTGGTTACCAGGCACATGTTCATAAATATTTCACAAGTTTTTTGATGAGTTTAACAGTATAGGTAGGAATGATAATTACATTTTCTTAACACAGTTTATTTTTAATTTAGTATTTTAAAATTAGATTCTAGTCTTGCTAAAAGCAGCAAAATGAGCATTTAAATAAATGAAATGGATGTTTGCCAATAACTGCTACCAAATAAATAACTTTCTTGTTGTTTTGAAAAATATTGAGGGAATTTTGAGGTCAAGCCCTTCACATGGTGGAAGCAGAGGGTTTGCCTGAATTCTGAGTTTGTTGACAGAGCCCGTCAATATATCCTTACAGTTTATCTTGGTTTCCACTGAAAAAAAGGTTTAAAAAAAAATAAAAGAAAGAAAAAAATAAAGGTAGACATCTCACTTGTTGGGTGGATCAACGGACTGCTATTCTGCACCAGGAGTATGTGAGACACGAACATAGCTTCTTATTCTTATGTGCATCCCTGGCCTCTCTGTGCACAGGGTCAGGGACTTAGAGCTACTTCATATCTCTTTTTGTTTGAATCTTTATCATGGCTTTTCAGCCACCTCCTTTTACACTTGCCTTTGACCTTTCTGCTTGTTTCTACACCATCAATCCCTTTTTGCCCCAGGAGCCACTTCTTGGTTCTCTCGAAAGTAGTTGTTATGCTTTCTGCTGTGGATCTAGACAAAGGAAGCCCCAAGATGCCTTCACAAAATGAAGTTAGACAACAGATACCTTTCTGAGCTTCTCAGATAGGTTGTTTTTTTCCATCTCATCTGTAAAGTTTCTGAAATATTATTGAAGTAAAGGTATTTCATTAGAGGGTTATGAGAGGGACTGAATAGTTCTGGGAATAAAGTTGTTGTTGAGATGAAAGAGATTTACACTACATCAGGCACTCTAAAATGTGTATATATGTGTATATTTATGTGTGTATATATACATATATGTATGCATGTGTGTGTGTATATATATATATATGCAGCCTTTGATGATACAGCTGATTTTCCTGTATTTGAAAATAAGATAGGGGAAAGCAAACAGCTAGATCCCCATGTCTCATCCTTTTACTTTACAGTTTACATGTTGAGGGAGAGCTTTGCAGATCTAATAGAAAGAGATCTTTTCAAAGAGAAATCTTTTAAGAAACAAGACACAATTTAACTGATACATTATTAAGATTAGCACAGAAAGTGAAGCATCTCATACTGACATAGTAAAGTCAGACTACTGTGACTGAGATATCCTTGAAAACATGAGGTTGTAGCATGTTCTGAATTGATGACAATGACAACAAAAGTGCAAAATTCCTTTGGTTAGAGGCCAACTTGTTCTGTTCCAGGGCAGATAAAATATACAGCACTGTCTTCTAAAAGTTCCCTTCTATTTTAAACAAACATTTTGAACATAATTTCTATCAACAAATTTATTGAAAAGCTTAAATGTACTCCAACAGTTGGAACATTTGTACCATGACCTGTAGAATAAAGATGAAATTGTGGTTGCATTTATAAAGACCAAAGACAATCAGTTGGAAAGAAGAGGATTTATCTGGGCTGTTATCAGTACTCTTCGTGTTTCCCCTGATAACATCTAGTGATTAGGTGATGGTCATTTACCACTTAAAATAATGTTAGCTGGAGGCAAATAGTTAGCTTTAAAATAAAAAACAGTGTCAGATACCATTTGGTACAGCTGAGCAAGCTGAGTATTTGTGCTGGTTCCCTATAGACTGTCACATAACTGACTATGACTATACAGGTGGACTCCAGTCCACATGTAGATACAGCGGGAAGAAATGTGCGAGGCTCACCACAAGCTGGTCAGGAAATAACCTCAAGAGGTTTTCTGTTCTCTCTATTACAAAGCAAAGGAAGTCTTCTCCAATGAACTTTTCAAAGTACTTGTACAGGGCATGTTATCTAATTTTTTTCCCCAATTTTTAATCTCATTTTTAGCAGGAGGATGTGACCAGGGGATACCATGCTGACCATGTTGGGACCGAGCAATGCTTTCAATGCTTAGGGAGTGGCAGAGAAGACACAAATACATCTAGAGACAACCCTCTTTGCTCATTCTCAGTCAAGAAGGACTGAACAAAGATATCTGTTTCCCTTGAGATCTATTGCTGGAGACAGAAGTATACAGCACTGATACTCAGAAGGAGATCAACATTTATGCCATCTTGGAGACAGACAGGAAAGCAACATAGATCCAGGAGCAGATCAAAACATTTGGGACACTCTTCTTAGCTGTCCTGAGGGTGGTGGCTTCTTTGAGATATGTTGTTGTTGAGCTGTCTCTGAAGAACCACGAAATTTTCACCATTTTCTCTTTTATGTGGTTGTTTCTTCAAAATTATGTGTTATGCTACTTTCCCTTTTCAGTACAGTGAAGAAAACAAGGTAGGCCTTGGTTGATGATTTTTAAAATCACAACATCTTTCAGGCACCTGTTTTGTTCCTTCTTATTTAGGAGCCTATCTTTACTCTAGGAACAGTTGATGCTGAATTTGCACTTTATCAGTTTACATAACCTACAAGTCTCCATGCAATTTAAAATGCCCTTTATTATCAGTGAAGTCCTGTTTGGATGCTGAACGGATTAGGAAAAATTCTGTCAAGTTATAAGTCCAACATTACTCTTACTGCTGTAATAAGAACCTTAGATTTCTGTCCTATAGTCTCTGCCCTCACCAAAATGCTCTTCTTTATCTAAAATTATGTATAGGCTCATACTTCTTCTCCTGCAATGTTCCTCCCTCAGAGCTAAAAACACAGTGAGAGAAAGTCAGAGTGATTTATGCAATTCCAAAAAAGAATGGGTGGGCAGATGCTCTGTGAAACATAGGCACTTCCTTGACCTTTAGGAAGAAGTGAGAGAGGGGAAGAAGGAAAGGTGTTGCTAGTTTCTACTTAGTAATCATATTGTTTTCCTAAAAGTGAAGCATTTACTGGGGGGAAAAAAAAAAGGAGTTACCCTGGTATTCAGAAGAACAGCATTCTATTCTTCATGCAGCTTTAGCTTCATTCTGTAACAGCATGAAGCAAATCAGATCTGTCACTTCCCTGTGAAAGCAGGACAATAAATAAGGGACATCCTCCTCCTTGTGAAATCTCTCTCTACAACCAGTCCTTTTCAGCTGAAAAAGATCTGAAGGATAATCCTGTAAAACCTAACCAAGAGATATACCAGAAATTTCCAATACTTACTGTCTTCCTTTAAAGTAAACCTAGTGTTTGCCCAGGTTATGGTGTGTGAATGATGTTATAATCATTCCCAGAATTTACTGAGTCAGAATATTTAGAGCGAACTCGGGGCATATGTCATAAAAAGACATTGCATGCAGGTACTAAAAGTATATACTCATTACCATTATTCATATATGACTTGCAAAATCCCAAGTCTGTTATACAATTACTTTAAATTCATGTAATCTTTTGCTGCAGCTGTTACTCTGTCTTATCTGTTATTCCTGAAAGATCTGCAATAATTATTTGAGACAACAATAGCATCTGTAAGGTCAACACTCATAAAAAGACCTCATGAGAAAAAGATGTTTCCATGGACTTCAGTGGTGACGGGATTTCACTGACTGTCTTCTATGCAAATTTTTGAGAATTTCAGTACAAAAAGCTCTTTCTTTTTTTTTTTTTTTTTTTTTCCCTTGGGGAGCATCTGTAAGGTCAACACTCATAAAAAGACCTCATGAGAAAAAGATGTTTCCATGGACTTCAGTGGTGACGGGATTTCACTGACTGTCTTTTATGCAAATTTTTGAGAATTTCAGTACAAAAAGCTTTTTTTTTTTTTTTTTTTTTTTTTTTCCCTAGGGGAAACAATCTGCTTTGATCCACTTTAAACAACTTTAATAGAAAAAGTTCTTGAAATTTTAAATTCTATGAAAATGTCAATAGGTCCAAAGTTCTGTTATACATCGCTCTTAGTCTTTATTTACTTAAGGAGTGTTCCTGGTCAGAGGTCAACGTCAGTATTAATCATTGATAGATTCTACATATAAGAAGAAAATGCACCCATTTTATGAAAGAGTCCTTGTGCTAAAGAACTTATGTAGGGGGTTTTATGTTAGACCAAAGCTCCAACCCAAATGGCAGTATCAGAGCTGAGTGATGTTCTTCCAGTTAAAAATACTGGCATTGTACCCTGGATTTACAAAGAAAATCCCAGAGCTTACAAAATGCCCCCCCCCCAAATTGCTTGACATCATGATCACTATGAAGTGGGGATGGATGAGTGCAGGCTGTGCCCATAGCAGAGGTCTGCCCTTCCCTGCCTCTGGTGGGAAGGTATGTGGGCAGGGTCCAGGTTGCCCTCTCCTCTAGTTTATCCTGACAGCCTGGGGAAGGCTGCTGGTGGTGTTTAGATATTCTGGAATGATCCAGGTCTCACGTACTTTTTGATACCTTTTTAACTGGTAAAGAAGATCCTTGTCAAAGCAAGAACAGGGCTATGGTGGATACCAGATTAAATTAGAGGGAACTGTATCAGCAGCCGCTCCTACTCAAATGTCAACTCCTTTGTTCACGCACCTTTGTCTTCCATTTGGTCATGGGTCAGGTCCTTCCCTGCATGCAGACATACAGGGGCAAAAGACTGTCGCTCCTTGTGCTTTCCTTGGAACCACAAACATAGGCTCTCCACCCATCACATTGCGGACACACTATTCACTTTTTACTTTCAGTCTTGGATAAAATTACAGCCGTGTCCTCCAGACAGTGAGGAGCTGGTATACACTAGTATGGCAGAGCATCGCTGCCAGCTCCATAGCTAGCCAGGCTGCAGAGCATGTGGGTGTTACACTGTGACACAGTCAGCATCTCTTCTGTTCCCACACCTGGGATGCAGGGTCAGAGTGGTCTTTACAGCACTTCTGATTTGCAAAGTTTATGAATTATCTAATGAACTAGGGGGCATTAGGCAATTCGTAAAGAACGCTGCACAGGCTGAGACTAAGCATAGACATTAAGGCAGCAACTAATAAAGCAAAGAACAATAGCAATACATATAAGAAAAGCTCTCGAATGATGCAAATTAGAAAATCCTTTGATGTCACTTACCTCCAAAATGAGAACTAATCTTCCAAAATATTTTGGAACAAAATGAACAGTACCTCTCCGAAGTGGTAGTCTTACCACCCATAGTTTATTTTGACCAAGCCAAGGACTGCAGCAGTAGGCTCTCTCCATATCATCATAACAGTTCATTTAACTGAAAATTTAATGACCCTGCAAATGAGCATTAACAGTAGGAATAACTACTGCTTTTACTAAAGGAATAAGAATTTCAGATGTTAGCTATTACAAATTCTTTAACCTCCTAAATGGATGGGCCACTAAAAGGGAACAGCAAACTGCAGTCTTCGGACATTTATAAATGGAAAGGTAGGTCCAAAAAATGCACATTTGTAAATTCTCAAATAAAACCTTTAAATATCAGCAGACATACTTTCTATTTTCTTTATACTTTAACAATGCTTTAAACTTTATAATTTTTAATACTTTATATGTGCAACAGGAAATTTATACTTGCAACAGGTATTTGAGCAATACTTTTTGCCAGCTTCAATGATATCTCCTTGTTTTAAGTAAAAAGTTTCAATGATAGCCTACTGACACAAAAGGGCATGTTAGGTCACCATGCATTAACAAGAAAAAAGCATTCTATGCGTTTACAGGATTTTATTTCTAATGTGATTGCTATAAAAAGAATTACTGTAAATATATTACTTATATGGGAAATTTACATTAAAAAGACTGAAAGGGTAGCAATATAAATGTGATACAGAGAAAGTACGAAATGTCAGTATGTCATTTAAACTGATATTTTAATCTAATTCTTTTTGGCTTTAAGAAACAGCTGTTGTATTTGGTCCCCTTTAAATAATGGCAAGAGTGCTGTGTAATAGTTTTAGAGAAAAAGAGCTTGCCCTGAATAGGTAGCAAGAACACAGTTGTAGTTTGAAGAAGGCTTTTTTATTATTCAATACTTAACTTGTGCATAAGTAATGAGAATCACAGAATCGGAGAAAAATGAGTTATAGTGTTTGACCACTCTTATGATAAAAATATTTTTCCTTATGGCTAGTTAAAATTTCCCCACTTGTTGCCTCCTTTCCTTTCACCATGCAAATCTGAGCTCTCTATAAATCTTGCTTAAATAGCTGGAGAGGGAAAATAGATATCCCTTAGCCTACTCTTCAGGTTAAACATGCCCTGTAGCATCCCCTCATATGTCATATGCCTTTCCCAGAAATCAAGGAACGCCCACAACCATCCTGATGGTCCTTCATGGGGTTTCTTCTGGTTGCTTGACAGCTCTTTTCTATTGGGAGGGCTCAAAAATGGAAACTATGTTCCAAATGCAGCATCACTAGTGCCCAGAAGAGGGGAATAATAACTTCCCTCAACCTGCTGGCTAATTAAAGCAACCTTATATGAGGTTATCCTTCATCAGAACAAGGGTAGACTGACCCACATTCAGTTTGGTTTCAACCAGACCTCAGATCCTTCTCTGCAGAGCTGCTACCCAGCCAGTCAGTCGCTGGCCTGTATTGTTGCGTGGGGTTGTTCACTTTCTCCATCCCCCTTGTCCCCCTTGTTCACAAAGCTCCTGCTAGCCCATTCCTCTAGTCTGGCAAAGTCCTCCAGAATGAGGGCCGTACCCTCAGCATACGAGTTGCTCCCTCCCCTCCAAGTTAGTAACATCCACAGACTTCCTGGACATGTGGGCTCTCCTACCACCCAGGTCCCTGATGGAGATGTCAAATAGCATTCACCTTAACATCCTCCGAAATGCACCTGGAACAGAGACTTTGAACTGTTGACTACTATCTTTTCAGACCAGTGGTCCAGCCAGTTATTCATCCATTCTGTAGTCCACCCTCTTCCTCGGTTTGGGTACCAGGTTACTGTAGGAGACTATGTCGAAAGCCTTGCAAAGGTGGAGGAAAACAACATCCATGCCATGTGAATGCAAGGTTGGCCACATACTCTCTCCTCCCAGGGTGTCGTCCAAACAAAAAGTGGAAACCTAACATGAGTCTGAAATCTCCTCTAATGTGCATTTAGCCATGGTGATGCTTTGTCTGTTGAAATTTGCTGTGTGCAGTGTACTTCCTCAAACATGTCCATGCATGAAAAATCATCCCAAGTTCATTAAGCATAGTTATAAATTAACAGTGCAGGAAACCAATGTTTTTAAAAGACAGGGTGCTGTATGAAGTTGTCCACCAGTTTTTAGAACTGTGCCTGCTTAACTGTTCTTATTCTTCTCTCCACTTTGTTTTCACCTTTTATTTCCCCTTTTTCTACAGGTTGCCAATGAAAGAGGTTCTGTATAGCTATGATGGTGAGTATTACTGTTTCTCTGACTTGATTACATTCACACTTTGAATATGTAACTTCTTCTTTAGTGTCACTTAAACAAATTTTTATGGTTTTGTTTAAAAAGATGATAGAACGTTTTAGCTATACAATTTAGTGTTTGGATAATAAGCCAGCTATGTTTGGTGAATGATTTTCTGTTAATAATTACCAATACAGAATAATTCCACTTCCTAGCATCACAGAATAAAGTCACAACTGAATTAATTTTAAGTGGGATGCAATCAAACAGTTGGAAGAAATTGAGGTATGGTCTGGAATTAGATTGTGAAGTAATGTCATTGACATAAGATGTTATTTTATATTTGAGTGCATAACCACATAGTTCCATTAAAGTTAATGGTTTGCTAGAGTTAAACAATACTATATTGCAAATAATGTGTTATGCTTGAGAGCAGATACAATGTAGTACTTAACAAGGGAGGCCAGCAAATACATGATATAGAAAAGGCTGAAGTGTTCGATGCCTTTTTTTTTTTTTGTTTCAGTCTTCACAAAAAAAGGTTAATTATTACTAAAATTTTATTTCAGTTATTATTAAGAATTTGGGACTAGGATCATGGGGAGAATAGGAACAGAACACCTAAAGGAATACTGAGGTAAACCAGAGTATTTAGGATGGCACAGCTTAAGGAAACTTACCCATAAAATACTTAACCAAAGCAATTTCTCAAACACTAGTGATTAGCAGGATAAGTTCCCAGGAAACTGGAGAAAGGCCAACACAATGTCATATTTAACAAGGGAGGAAAGGAAAATCTAAAGAATTACAGAAAAGTCAGCCCTAATAGAATTTCCAAGACACTGGAAGAAAGTATTAAACACCCCATTTGTAGGCATCTAGAGAATAGTAAGGAGATAAGAGGACTTGCACAGGGACACGTCAGAAACAAATCCTATCAAGCTGATCTCATTTCCTTCTTTCACAGCAGAACAGATATAGGGGATGTATTTGATACAGCATATCTTTGACACAGTCCCACATGACATTCATAAGCAAGCAAAGCAGATAGGGACTAAATTAAATCCGCATAAGGTAGATGTGCAACTGATTGGAAAGCTGGACTCTGAGAGCAAACATTTGCTGCCGAAGTGGGAGAACATCTCACACAGGCTGCCACAGTGCTGTCTTCTAGCTCTAGCACTATAAAACATTGCCATTAATCACTTGCTCAATCACATGGACAGTAAGCTTACCAAATTTACAGATAATGTCCATTTGGGAGGACTTGCAAGTAGCTTGGAAGGCAGGATTAGAATTCAAAAAATGTCACTTGCGTTAGAGGAATGGCTTGAAATCAATATGATAAAATTCATTGAAGACGAATACAAGCAAATATGAAAAACAGAGACCAAAAAGGAATGACAATACTACTGCAAGAGAGAACCTGAGGCGTACAGGGGACCACAAACTGAATCTTGAGTTGAAGAGGCGATGCTCTTAAGAAAAATGCCACTCAAGGAAGATGTTGAAGGGAGTGCTTATAATATGATGGAGGTAATTACTCACCACTGTTCAGTGTTAGTGGAGAATCAGTTGAATGGGATGTGGAAAACAGATGGGAGCTTTAGAAAAGATGTAATGATTTCAATGTCTTCACACAGAAGAAAAGAAATAGGGAGAGAGCAGAGGCACAGCAGTTTATATCTCTTCATAATGGGCTGTTAGAAAGGCATATTAGTGACTTCTCCATCCTTCCTCAGAGTAGGAGAAAAAGAAAAGGGCCTAAATTTCAGGAATAGAGATTTAGTTTAGAATTTCGATGGTTGCAGCTCTGTGGAAATTTAAGTACTCAGTTTACATCAGGCTGCTGCAAAGACAGGCAAGCATCTCACAAGGTAGGTTTGGTCTGCCAGCTGTCATCTTCTCACACAGCTACACCACAAATGAGATGGCTGAATATTTCTTCAAGCCTTTTTTTCTGTGATACTATGAGTTACATGTTAGTCAGATCACCAGGTCATATAAATTAGGAAAACTAAGTGACCCGAGTGCATGTTATACAGTTTACCAATCTGTATTTTTGACTAGTCATATTCATGTGAAAACTCTTCTTTTGCAGCCCCGAATTAGGATCAAGAGCTAAAGCCGTAGAGTATTTTGAGGCCTGTTTCTATACTAAGAAGGAATCAACGGCACAAATGTTATTTAAAGCACCATTAAAAAAAAAAAAAATGCTTCCAGTATGCTAATTCAAAGCAATAATAACAATCAAATATTCTTTCAAGAGATAATCTTATGTACTAGCATAATTAACCCCAGAGATACACACATGAATGTGCCATATTGAAATACGATTTCTTGAAGGGCTTGCTGGTTTAAGAGATGCTGAAAATAACACAGCATATTTTCTCTAGAAATAATATAAATGTTGAAATTAAATAAAGCCATATTTTTGTTGCAAAGGGTTTGCTGTGATTCTTATTTTTGCTCTTGTAAATCTAGCTCCACGTATTTCAAATAGCTGAGAATGAATGCCAGCATCATTGGGAAAGGAATGCTCCAATGTTCTTAACCTTGGTCACATTTTGCCACCACACAGTCACTTACGTTTTGTGAAATACTCCAGGAATTATTCATGCTTGTGTGAGCACCCACAGCAATCAGCACGCACAGTGATTCTTCCCTGCCATGCAATATTCATAGCTGTTTTGGCCAGGCAGTGCCCGTGCCAGCCGGTGAGTGCAGGCAGAATTACCAGCTGCACTCCTGGCACATGTGGAAGAATCACCACTTTCTTCTCCAGTTTATGCTGCTGGTTTTTTGACCCTGTGCTGCTCCCACAGACTGAATGTTGCTCGAGCCTGGATCTTAAAAAATTTGCTTTCAAGATGCATTATAAATGTCTACGGAAGCTGATTGTCTATGCTTGCATGAGTCAACTGCCTTCTTTCTGACCCCTTGATCCTTTGAATCTCCAATGACCCCACAGGTCATATGTCCAGGACCTTCGCATCGCAGTCCTGTCCTGGCATGCAAGAGCATTTTACCTCCGGACATGATGCTATGTGTTGTGGTTAAGATTAATATCTTAATGAGACATGCTACTGCTTTGATTAAAATTAATGCGATGAACTAATTTATAAAATATTATCATCAGTTACAACATTAAAATTAAAATCAGTTTAAACGGAATAGTCCTTAAGCCACTCAGCCTCTTGCACTATTGGACCTGGCATAATTTCAATCCAGCCTGCATTTAAACTGTTGAGCTGTGGAACTGTGAAAACAGAAGAGAAGTTCAGCAATCAGTGAGTCTCTCCATGTAAGTAAAATATACATTTGTCCTACAGGAGCACGCTCATCCTTCAGAATGTCATGAACAGATATATAAGCTCTGTTTTTGTATTAGTTTCTTTTCTCAATGGAAAAGTAATAGAAGTTAAGTGTGTACATCTTGTGGACAGCATATCCATTAACCAGATGGCAAAAAAATTATTGAGAAAAGCATTTTGGTGAGTTCAAGAGAGAGTTCCTGGGGACCAAAATCCGCGCATACAGGTAAATATAACAAAAATGTATTGACAACTAAAAAAAAAAAAAGATATAAATGCATACATATAAAAACATCTATAGCTATAAATATGTTATAAATATTGTACAAGATGTAATAGGTCAACCCACCAAGGACCTAATAGTATTTCTGGTTTTCGGTCAAGCACTGAAGTGGGCAAAATTCGTATTTAGAACCAGTATGATCTGTGTGATTCTCAAAAGCCTGCCAATTTTTTCAAAGCACTTGCTTTGTTATGAATTTGTTCCGAACCCAACTTTCTCTTCCTCTTGAATTTCATTTTTGTAAAGCCCAAATCCCACCTAGCGTGTCTAGCCAAGAGAATTATTCACATGGTATGTTTTAGCTTTAAATTAGCCCAGGTGATAGACTGAAGCCCATCAGTGGAAGGAACAGAAGCAAGAGAAAGAACTACTGGGATTATAGGAAGGGCAAAAGAGAAATCATTTTGTGGACCTCTGGGTTTGTGAGTTAGTTCATTGGTGCATACTTTGAAAAACAGTTTCCGTACCTGTTCAAACAGCTTTCATCTATGAATGAAAAATGAGTATATTGGCAATTACAGTCTAGGAAGTCTATCCTGAGAAACCAATGGAAAAAACATTAACAGAAAAAAATCCTTTAAGGAGAGATTATGACGAGTAAAACTCAACACAAAAAATTGATTGCTTTTTCAGTAGTACTATAAAATTAATGGATGCTGCTTATTCAATAGTATAATATATTTAGTCCAAGTTCTGATACCTTTACCCTGCTTTCATTCATTATTTTTCCGGTAAAATACACATTCCTGTCAGGATCACAACGACTGCCTATGTTATGTGAGGGCTTATTCCCCTTTTTCCCTCATCTGCCAGGCTAACATGAAGTCTGCTACACAGTGTTCACCCCATCCTATGCATGCTTCTGGTATTTCTGTTGTTGCTATGTGCTACAACTCAAGCTGGCAAAGAAAGACTTATTAAAGTTGGCCCAGGTGGTCAGAAGGGAGATTTGCCTAACACAAGTGATGTACCTGGGCAGTGACATAGAATGGGCCATGGAAAGGAGGGTCAGAATTCATGACTTGAGGAAACTGGGTTGCTGCACCAGACTAAGGACAGCCCTTGGCCAAGGGTTCAGCTGTCTGGGATCCAAAGCCTAGCTTGATGTGGCACAGCTCTGTGGTCTTGACTCACTTTTAATGAGAAAATTGCTTAAATATCAGGAAGTTCACAAGCTAAAGATATGCAAAATGAGAAAAGTGAAAGCACAGAGAGAAACATTTTGTTAAAAGGGTAACAGTAGCAGCTCAAGGATACAGAAGGAAAAAATCTATACTTTAAGGTATAAAAAATCCTTAAAAGCAGAGAACCAGACAGTGGCAACTCAGCAACACTGAGGATCAGCATGTTATGAGGATCAAGAAGCCCAGTCCTTCCCCACCTGACTGACACTTGCCTGCCCTGCACAGGCTCACTGACTGTCTTACTGGGGTGGCGACCACGTTAATAGTGGCTCCCTAGGGTGCGCATTAGCCAAGGCATAATTGTTTCATATGAATAAATCTATATATCTTTCTTGCAGCATCCCTTTGTACATTGTAAAAGATGTCTGAACAAAAATGAGCTGGTGATTTCTATGTAAGACTGCTCTCACTTATGCAAGGAGCAGTATCTAGCCATACACAGGGCAATCCTAGGCTATGTCTGCCCTGGTCAAGTCATACACCCCAAAGCATATGGCACGGAGTAGGTTACAAGTTAAGGGAAGAGCTTGCTGCAAGCTGGCTTCTCTAGAAGTGGACTGGTGACACTCACATTGCAATAACACCAAACTTAACAGGTATCCGAAGCACCTCTAAGCCTGTTTGGTGGTAAAGCTAATGGTAGACACATGACAATCTGTTCAGGTTTCTAGTATTGGTTTTGGGATGCTACTTCTGCCTCTGCCCTTGTCAGTCTACCCATGGTCAAGAGAAGAGTTTAGACTTGGGGTGCCAACATTCACTGGTGGGATCAGATAGGGCCACAATTTTGAGATGAACACCAGTAGGTACACGTCTGCCATGCCTCACCAGCATGAGACCTTCTGAGAGCTCATACGGGCAGCAAAATACAGTATGTTCCCCTTCTCCTTCACTTCTAACTTGTTGGTGAGTTTGGGATTGGCAAGCTCACTGCAAGCATCACCTCTCTGAAGCTATGCACAGCCATGCACAGGCTAATGGGTCCACAATAGTCTGCGTTGACAGCATAACGAAGGTGGCATGTGGCTCATGATATGATGGGGCCACTGCTGAGACTTCCATGCCCAGTTGTGTCTCCTGAGAGGTTCCTATCCAGCTATAAGCCACAATGACTGCTGTTACCTGTTCTGCAAGCTCTAGTGAAACATCGTTTAGGAGGGGACTTGTAGCTGTGAGGCTGCATGCATACTGTGCTGGTTCATGCACAGGTTCCCTCATTCTTCACATGTATTTACTTGACTGCGCCCAGAGTGGGCTGACCTCAGGGCAATTCTGGAGTATGGCTGACAATAAGAATGAGACAGTACCTGCTGCCTTGAGGTTGACCAAGAAATACAGCTGTGGTGGGAAGCATGCATGGTGTATTACTGTGGTGGGAAGAGTGAAAAGGCTATGAGGCTGTAGCAACCACTTAGTACCATGTAATACCTATAAAGTCATCTTCTTTCACCTGTGGTTGTTGACTCTGAGTGCTTGAGCACTTGTGTGTGTGAATCTGTGTGTGTGAGGAATGGGATTTCTTTGGCAGGGGCAACTGGGGTCAGTTTCTCTATCTCTGACTTTGACCCTACATCTGTTGATTTAAATATCTGAGGAACTAGGCGTGTTGGTCCCAGAGGCTGCGTATAACAAGTTACACTGTGGCAGGAGTCTACTTAGACATCTGATGAAATTTTTCACCTAAGCCACCACTATTCTGAGTTACACATAACCTGAATTAGCATCATAAGAATTGAGATAGGGAGTCCTGAAATGTTTGAATTAAAAGTGGTACTGCTTGATACCGTGCCAACACACAGCCGTGAGCTGCCAGGCTGTTGCCAAACAGGGTGAAAGCACCCCTGTTCCTGTGCCTGTTCCAAACATATAGAGACTAAAGTGACAGTGAGAAAATCACTTTAACACACAGCTTTTCTCTGCATAAATACATCTAGGAGTTAGTCACTCACAGTTTGAAAGGGTGAATCCTGTTCCATCTTTAGTACATGGGAGGGAGAAGACATCGTGGGATAATACTTTTGGTGAAGCGGGTTTGCTTAAAAAGCTTTCACTGCATTGCAGTCATTAATAATGAAGAGTAGTAAGTATAAACTATTGCAGCCATTACAAATCAGTGATATATTTTGTGCAAGGAATCATTGGTTAAGTTTCCATTTAAGTTCAAAGAAAGGGATGGCCCATATCATTGCAGAGTTTGAACTGGAGAAAAGCAATTACACAGGCTCTCTGATGCACTGAGTTGTGTCTACTGGCAAATGACTGAACTGGGGCCTGGCGTCCTGGTTTCTTCCTAAACTGGCCGAAAGTCACTTCTTTTTCCTGGCACAAGGTAGCAGTACCGCAATTCTCCCTCTGGGTCTGGGCGCAAGGTTTGACCCCAGTCCGCTTGCAGCAGCTGGGAGAAGGAAAGGTGCCGCAGTCTTCTGATGGGGTGGCCTCTACCATCTGTCCTGGGACTAACCTTCAGCACCCAGAGCCTCACTGGCCAGTGCTACCACCTGCACTCTGAAGGTGATCAAAAAGAAGATTTTATGGTGTCTAATAGGCTCATTCAGACAAATCAGGGAGACTTTTGAAAGAAAGGTTGTTGAATAATCCTGCTCCAGTTTTAAAGAGATTCTTGGACATTTTAAACTGGTTTTTATCTGTTACTCCA